TCGGCGCCGGGCCGCCGGCCCTTTAAACCCCCCGCTGCAGGGCCGCAGGTGCCCGAGATCAGGGTCGCAGGCTCCTCGGTCTCCACGCTGGACCCTGGCTGGGCGCCGGCAACCGAAGGCCTAATTGAAGAGGTGGCAGGTGGACCCGTAAGTGCCCCAAGCAGAGCAGGCAGGCAGGATGGATGGGCCTCTCCTTTCCCTTTCTGGGGCCCCTGGGATCTAAGCCACTGGAAAGGGAATGAGACCAGGTGGGTCCTTGGGCAGCAACCTGGGGCTGGAGAGTGAGCAAGACTTTGGTGCAAAGGAAAGCCCCCCCAGAGTTCTGCCCAGAAGTGGCCGACGGGGTGCAGAAAGGCCCCTTGGTTCTGCAGCGGCCTTACCTAGCTTTCCCACTGGGCGGGGCAGGTGCAGAGGCCTCTGGCTGATGGCCAAGGCGATGATGGAGGGAGACCTTAGTTAAGCCCAAGAAATGCTGATAACAATGGGAGCTGGGAGTGGGATCCAGAAGCCCAGGTGAGCTGATGTGGGCTGGACCAAGAGGCGGCTCCCTGCAAACTTCATCTATGTCAGTAGTTTCTTCCTTCCTGGTAATGGGCGCTAGAGCTCACCCAGATGTCACCACCTCCTGCCTCTTCCTGACATCACCACCCCTGTGCCACTAACTCCGTGGATGGATTTCACACCTTGCAATAATTACAAACTGCGGAATGCTCTTGGAAGCAAGCACCCTGATAGGAAACACATTACTTTATTGTTTCATGTTTGGTAAAGTAGAGGGGCGGATGGGGGAGTGGGAGAAGAAGAAACTCCCCAACAAGAAAGATTAACACAGTAGCTGCAACAATGTGCTAAATGTAACAATTGTGAGGATGGTGCAGGACTGGAAAATGTTTCCTTCTGAATAGAGGAAAGAACTAGAAGGCAAAGGACATTTATAAAGGTATAAATACAGGCATGTACATGTGTAAATATATACATATAGTTATATGTTAAGTATTAAGGTAGCAGACGGACACTGGGCCTCTATTCAAGGCCTCCTTCAACCAAGAACACTGTGTTCTAATAACCTGACACTCTGTGATGCTATCCTACCCTACATGATCGCTGAAGGCAAAATGGGTGCATAAGCAAATGTGGTGAAGAAACTGATGGTGCCCAGCTAATAAAAGATAAGGCATCTGGGGTCTTACAGGCTTGAAGATAAACAAGTGCCCATCTAGCTGGAAAGCAACAAAATCCATATGGAAGAAGCACACCAGCCTGTGTGATCACCAGGTGTTGACAGGATCAGGTATCAGGCATCAGAAGACCCCAAACAATCATATCGATGTGAACAAGGGGGAAAGGGGGCGGAGTGGAGACCCAAAGCCTATTTGTAGACAATTGGACATCTGTAGTATTAAATTTAAAAATGGTGCTGGGGGGTGAAGGGCCAGCCCCCACCGCTAATACTCCTATTACTACTACTCGGATTCAGTAATACTACTTCAGGGTTCACTAATGCACAATTGTACGGTTAAGATA